CGGATAATTACGTGGCTATCAACAAGGACGTTTACAGGTACCAACAAACTCGGTACTTGAACTTCTGACTGTGATGAAAACAACGGGGGCAATTTGTTTTACGAATCTGTCTGGTCGCCTTCTTTTCCTGGCTGAGACGTACAGAACTGCAACGTCACGACCACCAGATCTTTCAGTTGTGATCTTTTGATCAGTTCGCCCCAGACTTTGCAACCTTTACACGAATAAGCAGTCTTACATTTAGGGAGGTGTTACAAGGTTATTTCATTAGGTAAGGTCGTTTCTTTTAATTTTTAACCGTGTTCTCGAAAATGTATTGCTTGTGTACTCCTTTCATTGGTGAAGAGACACCAGTTTCCAAATTACCGCTTGTACCTCACGAGAGCCCATATTCACATTTTTAGGTATTAGTTTCAAGATCGATATAATTTAACATGAAAAACAACATTGAAAGCACGAGCATAATAATATAATGATCATTGACTTTACATTTCTATTAATTTCTGAAGTACAAAGTAGAAGGTGTTTCCCCTACCTTAAATATACGATTAAAATTGTTCAAATACCATTTATTCATTACAGCAAGGAGCGGAGACACTTATATTGTAAATACAAAATATATTTATTTCGAAGAGTACGGGACATGATTCAATAAAGACGTTAAAAAAATAAACCGATGTAGTTATTTTGCAAATTAGTTAATTGTTTTAAAAATTGGTTTTTCCTTTTAACCAGGCGGTTCCCCTTGGGGTTGTTGGTTTGACATGTTTTCGGCCCGTTGTTTGGTTAACCCCCCCCAACAGGTCGGGCCGCGATTGGGTGAAAACTGAGAATCGACACTCTGATTGGGTAAAGCGCCACAGCGGAAGTTCCGTGTATACTGTGTGTGCTGAATGAGCACGCTGGATATACAGAAACACATCCATTTGTTTCCAATTACTGATCAATCTAAGAGTAGTCGCAGTGAGGGCAAAACTGAATAGCAGACAAAGAATGTCATGGCATCCACAGCGCGGTCACGACTCCGATAGCATGTCACGATAGGAGTGCGCGCATCACGATCACATCATGATACTCATTGCGACTGGTGCATCACAGTGGCGCCATTAAGTCCTTATATCGCGATATTACATACCTCGACAAAACACCCCACCCCCATGTCACGACATAGAGCCCGCATATCGCGATATGACATACCCCGACAAAAGTGCCCCGCCCCCATATCGCGACATAGAGCCCGCATATCGCGATATGACAT